AGAGAGCTTTCTTACTTTTCCAGCCGTATATGAAGTATGTTTGAAAGCCCAAAAAAGCTCGGCACGTGTTTCGATGAAGTGGCCAACTGTGGACAAAAGCCCGCATTGTAACTCGCATATCACTGCGGTTACCAACAAGATTACTAAAACATTCCATGCAAGACAAAGGATCCATAGTAAAAAAAAGGGACATATTTCCCAAACTGCCGTCCTGCTATCATTAAATACACATTATACGCGTGGATAAAAGCCAAGGTTTGGAATTCATCGCTAATGGCTTGCCTTCTTTAGCCAACCAACTATAAAGCTCTCATACTACGCTACAAAGTCAAATGATGGAAGGAGGAAAATTCAGACCAAGATTTAGCACAATTTTCAATTAGGATAACACGGGAACCACGGGGCACTATGACAACTTTATGAATTCAAATTAGTGAAATAATTTAAAGTGTACCAGGTAACTGACGTCTTCATATTTGAAAGCAAAATTTTATTTTGTTATTATTTTTTCTTTAATTTCTGGTATTAACCCTTGGTTTTGTTGCGTACCTCTGTCGGTCTAGATCCTCATCCCTCTGGACTGAAAACAACCGAAACGTTCTGGACAAAAAAAATATAAAAAATCAAGCGTAATTTTTTGCCATTTGAAACTTATACTTTGTTCCACTAAAATACAATGGGCTTCAAAACTTCATGCTCACAATCTTTCTAGGAGATCTAATTAAAAAAGTTGGAAATTTTTACGAACGTTTCGATAACTTGATACACTCACTAAATAGTGATCGCTCATTAAATTCATGTAATTCTAGAAGTTTCGATAACCCGATATACTTTGAAAATTCTATAAATCGACAAGTTTTGATAACTACCAACAAATTTCGATAAAGCAATAAATATCAATAACTCGACAATTTGAAAAAAAAATCGATACATCACGACCACTCAATAAGTTCCTTAACTCGATAAACTTCGATGGCTATAAATTTTGATCAGTCCATAAATATTTGTAATTCAATAAATATCATAAAATGAAATTTTATTAACTTGATAAAATTCGATAATTTGATAAACTTTCATAACTCGTTAACTATCGGTATATTTCAAAAACCAACTTTCTGCGTCTCGATAAATTTCGATAACTCAATAAATATGGATCAGTTTCAATAAATCGATACATTTCGATAACATAATAAACATGGATGTTCCGATAGTTATAAACTTCGGTGATAAGAAACTTGAAAACTTTCCATAACTAAATTTCATATGACAGGATATGTTTCGATTATTATCGAAATATTTAAATTAATTTTCTTACCATTTCAGTTATCTTAATTCTTATGTATTATATGTGTTCTCTCATCATTTCTTACTTCATCTACACATGTATCTTTATTACAAAGTTAATATGTATTAATATATTAATAACATATACATAGATACCTAGATACCTAGATATTAAAAAAAATAACATAATTTTTGGAGGGGGGGAAATAAAAATCAATTTCGCAGGTCTGCTTTATATACACATGTAAGTCATAAACTCATATCTACACTTTGGCGAAAGAATGTAAATACATGCATACACATGCCAGTAAACCCACACACCGAAGCAAAAAACTCACTTGAAAACCGGAACAAGAACGTGTTTCTCCAAAATTTACATGTTTGCGTACACTTTTCGTTGAGCGCAGAACACCTGACGGTTCTCTAAGGTAAACTCACATGTCGACATGTGTCTGCAAACAAGATTCTAACAAAACACAGACCAGTGATACATTTTGAATTATAAAACAAAAAAGAGAGACAAGAAACTATAAACAAAGCAAATGATAATAAAAAAAAATCTTTAGCAGCAAAAAATTGCAAATATCTAAGTTTTAACAAGACAGTTTGTATGCTAGCAAAAATGAACAACCGAAACCGCTGACAGCGCACTTTACGCCAAATACAACATAAAACGATCAGATAAAAGAAAAAATCTTAAAGATCGTACATGAATAATTGTTTCTAAATAGAAAAACGTTAACAACATTCAAATGAAACAAAACTGAAAACCTTGACGTAGACGCCATGCGGACTTTGTCAGCTGCTTAGTTGACACTAAGAAATGTTATTAAATATATAAAGGGTCTTCTGTTAGGTTCTAAGCAGGGCATGATCGTCTGAACGATATCGTGGCGAGATTGTGTTGCTTCACGTAACAGTAATAGTAACACGTAACATCAACACAAATGCATAAATTAGTGTTTTAACTAGGTCGTTTTGTCAGTATCGTTTGAACGACTATCGTTTCAAAGTTACGTGATTCATGCCTAGAACATTTTTGATAATGGTATTTTGAATGTTACCAAAAAGGTTGCAGGGGCGTTTTATGCAAGGCAGGGACTTCATGGTAAAACTTGGAGAATATCGCCCAAATTAACGAATGTGTCTTTCAATACTGTCGTAGAACCCAATGATACATATACCACACTGGCTTGGTGGCCAAAAGTTAACACCTTCACTACCAGGCGTCACATATATGTGTCAGCTAGGTTTTCACATGGGACCGCCGACACAAATGTGTGACGCCGGCTTAACTTAATTAAATTATACCTCCGTTCACCGCCGCACAGTGGTCCAATCTGCTCTATTAATGTAATTTAATTATTATATTAAGAACTAAGATAGATATCGGGATGAAATTTCGCACAAATTATGTCTGAATGACAAACAACTTCTGCTCATAAAATGGGCAAGATCGAATAGCGACCACGCCTACCAACCATATAATTAAAAAATCGTAAAATTTTTCGTAAATTTTTGGTATATTTTTTAAGCACTTGCTCGCGGTTATAGATACCTGTAGCTCGTTTCTGTAACAATTCTCTACCAAAGCGAATTGAGATATGAATTCGTCGCGCTGTTCTCTACTGCTAATGAGTAGTAGAGAATGACGTAGATATATTCTCTACCAGTAGAGAAATAATCGGTAGAGAAAAGTTACAGAAATGAGCTACTGCATACCATAAACTTTTTTAACTATTTGGGATGAATTAAAAATAGAAAGTCCGTTATGTATATACTGTATTGACGCCGGATCCGAATCAGCCACCTAATATATGTATGAAATAAAAAAAAAACTGCTAAAAGTCAGATCAAGCTTAATAACTTTTAGGGCCGTTTCCTCATCTAACCTTTAGATTACCGGCCACTTTATCGTCTCGGTATACGAGTTTTCGTTTTCTCATCAGCGCATTAATTTCTCAAATCGATAAATTGTTGCAACCTCTGAAAATGTGTACCCAACTTTAAATTTTGGTTCGGTTTTGGTTCATGAGTCAGATATATTAGATATTTCAACCAAGGTTTTGGTTTTTGCTAACAGTTGCTCTTGCTCTATATTTGCTTATGTTGCATTGTCAACCTTTGAAATTATATGGCGAATGTAGTGAAGTTTCACTCACGGAAATGTAGTGAAGTTTCGCCCTACGGAATAACAAATTTATTTTTACTGGTAAGATAAGAAAACCAAAACACTTTAAAGTGAGGAACCATTTATCTGCCCTGTTAGTAAAGGCAACTTTACTGCGTACATTAGAAAATGGCCCTCAGTAAGCAAACGATACTGATGCTGTGATAAATTTGCGTCGAATACACCGACACACAAAAAAAATTTAGTGTGATATGCATTTGACCGGACCTGCCTATGATTATGTATTTCGAGCCGCAGAATCCGAATTTGAAATCAGTTTGGCCAATATACCTCCTAGATTTCGAGAAAACTTCAAAACAAACTGTAATATTAGTGAAAATTGGCAATAAAAATCGGTTTTTTGAAGTTTTATCGAAATCTAGGAGGTATATTGGCCAAACTGAATTCAAATTCGGATTCTGCGGCTCGAAATACATAACCATAGGCAGGTCCGGTCAAATGCATATCACACAAATTTTTTTTTGTGTGCCGGTATTATCTTCAGGCGAAATACCTTTAGGACTCTTCTTTGCCAGTATGAGCTTCTTACTAGCAGTACCTCTTTCTGGAGAAGCACTTAAAAGCTCATTAAGTAGCGTAGCTGAAGATCTAATTTTTAGTTCAGTGGCCAAAAAGAAATACATCTGGATCGATAACTTTCGAAAGCTCATTAGCTTTCTTCATTTTAACTTTTTGGCAACAATCTTCAAAACTTTTAGCTGGACTACCAGCAGAAAATGTCGGCTTACCAAACTTAGAATACACAAATCGTGACAAGTCTATTTCAAATTCGAGCCAATCTGTATTTGCAGTAACAAACCGCTCTCTTTTTCGGAAGCCTTTTGTCCACTTTAGGTCCAAATTCTGAATTAACTTCGCACATATGATTTCAATTTAACAAATTTGATTCTATCACTAGATCCTAAACTGATATTCCCTGATACAAAATCCATTATTCCATCAAATCTTTAATTTTTGGGGGTCGACAGCCAAAAATCAAAAATTTCCTGTCTTGAAATTTTAGGAGTCATTTTGAAAATTTAAAATAAATGTATGGGTGCCGCAGCTAGCCGCAGAATTTTTTTGTGGATTCTATTAGTATATACATCAATTGAGAGAATAAGTTTAGTAAGTGATCTATATTCCGCCATATAAGAAAGATTTCTTCTACAAAGCAAAAAAAAATTATAATTTGGTACTCACCAAAAAGATTAAAACTTTATCAGCTCCAAAAAAATATGTGCGTCCACTGCGGTAATAATTTTTACATTTCCTGAATTTTCTTACTTAAAACAATGACGGAGAAAGAAATTAAGTTAAAAAAAAGTTGCTTTAAACAAGTTAATGAGCCTTAAAAGTACTCAGTTTTCGTTGCACGCACAATTTCATTTTTCACTTATTGCTTACTATGACTTTTGGATACCGTTATATTTATATGAAGCCAAATTTTTTCAAACAATGTTGTATTTACTCTTAAGTAGACAATATTCTTGCATATTTGATAAAAATTTTATTGAAAAATTACAAACAAAAAATTAATAATTACCCTAGCTTTGCACATTGGACCACTGTGCGCCGTCTGCGAAAGCGGGTTGTTGGATACAGTATGGTCTATAGGAAGGTCTGGCCCACGTTTGCGACAAGTGGTCTCGGGATTACAGCTACCTGTAAAGTGTGAGATTATGTTTATTTACAGTGTACGTGTGAAAGTCTTTACCGACTTTAAGAGAGAAAATATTAACTTCATAGTGAAACAAATACTCAGAGGACGGTAAGTACATATATTTAGGCTTGTTTGAACATAATAAATTTGAACATAAAGGTCAAATATTGAGCCATGTTTCAGAGAATTTCACGCCGAAAATAAGCCAGAATGCCACTGTGTTTTCACCAAGACTTAATTTTTTTAAGCTTTGTATTTTTGAATAAAACTGAGTTAGGTAAAACCCAAAAGTTTAGCCTTTCACATAAACGTGACCCTTGTATATACCAAAAAATATCTCTTTAGACCAGCCTCGCCCGCTCCACGACTGCTCAATGTAATAATTAGGGCTCGCAATTGCATGCAGCTCTCAAGTAAACGGTCACGAAAATATATCCATTATTTCGAGAGTGTGTTCAAGGAATTTTGACATCTGATACTTCACCAACCTGTTGTATCACTCCTTCCTCACGAAATAATGTAATGGGCATATATTTCTGTTGCAAACGTGGGTTGTCCTGTGCTCTTTTTCATAAACAAACTAGCAAATTTCTTAAGAACTGCGCACTGCCTCAAGAAAATTTCAGACAAGAAAATTTCTTGTACGTCATTTTATATCGATTTTTTGCTTTTCTTGAGAGCTGCATACTAGCCTTTAAATGGAAATGGTTAAGGTCAAAATGTCTCACTGCCTTTATTTCGTATATAGGTACACATATGTGTAAAAATGTCAGAATGGCTATATTTCGGTGTATTTCCCCTCGGTAATTGGAATAAATACTTTGTTATTTTACTATGAATTTATGTATATGGGTCATTCCATACAATATTTACACCCCAATATTTTTTTGGGGTGAAATATATTTTTTTACATTCTTTATCGAAAAAAAGAAGACACCTGTTTTTTTATTTCATGATGATATTCGCAAATCTCGAAAAAAAAATTCCCGAAATTTTGAACTCACGGAGAAGTATGTTTTTTTAATTGTTTGCAATTAATAAACTATTTGTCGGAGAAAATCAGTTAAGGTATCAAAATGTGCGTAATTATCTCGGCTTTCCATGAGAGTTTGACATAGATTAAAATAAAAAAATGTTTGAATTAGAAAATCGCATTTTTTTATTTTTTTTTTTATACTGAAGTTTATGTATGCAGGTATGAAAAAACCTGTAACATCTATAGTTTTGGTGTTTTCATTCTCAAATTTTTAAAGCGTACTCCATATAGTTCGACAACTATTCATGTTGAAGAAAAATAAAAATCAAACATGATGTAGTTAATAATAAATAAAAAATAAAAAATGCGATTTTTTAATGCCAAATTTTTTTTTATTATTATCTCACATTCTCATGGAAAGCCAAGGTAATTACGCACATTTTGATACCTTAACTGACTTTCTCCGACAAATAGTTTATTAACTGAAAAAATATATATCTCCCCGTGAGTTCAAAATTTCGGAAATTTTTTTCGAGATTTTCGAATATCAAAACCAAGTAAAATAGTAGGTGTTTTCTTTTTTTCGATAAAGAATGTAAAAAATATATTTCACCCCAAAAAAAATATTGAGGGGTAAATATTGTGTGGAATGACCCTTAAAGGAAAGCAATTTTAATTTTGATTTGATGCGAATGCGAATTTTGAATGTGAATGTGTAAAATGATGCGAATCATTCGTATAATGAATGCGAATGCAAATATAAATATTCGCAAAGTCCCTGGTATGTAAAAGGGGTGTTAATTTTTTCGATTTTTACGGCCCCGAGATGTCATTAGCTCAACCCCGGAATTCCGAGATCAGTTCCGATATTTACTTATTATTTTTCAACAACTTAACACAAAAAACTTGCATCAATATTGTTCGAGAAGCTCTCCTACCATATGATAAATAATAAGTAAATATGTTTGGAACGTACTTTTTTATTTAAAGTGAAAATTATTTTATAACGAAAGACAGTAATTTAATTTATATGCATTTAATAATACTTTACCGTGTACATATCCGATAAAGTAATTTAAGGTATGTATGTCGAAAAAGCTCAATGCAAAAAAAAAAATTAAGTGTAAAAGTTCATAGTACTAGTGGAGAAATAAAATAAGCGCATTTATTCGATCACTTTTGTCTATATTCCGTTTCTTTATTCAAAATTTACATATTTTATTAAGCTCTACCTCAAATTACATATACACACTGCAAATAAATGGGCATTTCTCTGACGTCATGATTTTTTTAAAAATGCTTTATAATTTCAAAGGTATGATCAATTCCAAAATTTATTTAAAAAATTCAGTGCAATGTAAAACAAAAATATGGGTGCCAAAAAAATTATATTTGTAGTTCGAGTGTCCCTTTAATCTATTTTATTTTTTTAAGCTAATAAAGTTAGTCCTTAACATATACTTTTTTCGAAAATAAGAATTGAAATATTTCAAGGATATTCAAGGATAAAATTTTAAAAGGGTATTTTCAATACCTACCCGTCCCTTACGCACCAAAAAATGTAATCTGTGTTAACTCTACAGAATCTTCTCTATCATTTGATACCCATACTGGTTTTTATGTATGTATGTACATTGCACCGAAATTTTTTAATAATTTTTTTAATTACTCACATCTTTCAAATTTTAAAGTTCTTTTAAAAAATCCTGACGTAAAAAAAAATAAAAAAATATTACATATTAAATAAGGAAAAGAAATAATGCCAAAACTGGCCAACATAAGGCCCGGGATTTTCGGGACTTAAAAAAGACCGGGATTTCGGGATAAACATTCCTAGTATGTACACATTTACGATGTATGTTTTTCAAATGACATGTAGATGAATTAAAAATAATGTGCACAAACTTAAAGATTTCAGTAATTTTACATTATTTGCTCACTTTAATTAATTAATTATCATTAGAGTGTTAAGTCTACCATAACGCACAGATATTAAAAATATTACGAAGGTAATAATTGTGCGATGAATTTTCACTGAACCCATCAATTCAGTAAACACCCTGCCAGAAATTCAATTACTTTGAAAGCAATTTAGAAAGTACTTTTTTTTACCAAGTACAAGTAGTTTAAATTCTTCCTTTTTTTTCTTGTAAGCAACTAATTTTATTAACATGGCGATGTCCTAAAACCAAACTAATTATCCGACGCTGCATATGTTCCAACTACTTTAAAATTCATAAACTGCATAAATAGTTTCCAACTACTTTGTCAATTGATAAATTTCGGAGAAAAGTCAGTTATTTCCGACAGGGCAGTAAATCATAAAATGGCATTTAAGTGAGAAAATCTCATACCTGATACACTGAGTGACTGAGAAAATTGGTATATGTACATGAATGCAGTGTATAAATGACATCTACAATATTGTTAAATATCACAATTCATTGGGAAATGTTAAAGATTACATATTTGGGGTACCCTTTTTATATTATAAATGAGAACGGTTTTTAGTGAGTGATTGAGTGTGTGACGGATATGGCTAAAATTTGGCACACAGATAGTTTATAATCTGTTGAATTCAATTAAAATTAAAAAAATTAAAAATTCAACGAAATATACCAATATGAATGTAGAACGAACGATATTTTAAATAGATTCATAGTGAAAACATTGTTCCACAGGGTTGCCACCTATTTAAAAAGTTAAATTCAATTGTATGAACGAGACAAATAAAGTATTACAAAATCTTTGGAAAATTAAAGAGGTTTAAAAGATTTAAGAGAGTTTTACTTTAAAAATATTTTGAAGAGGATTGCCACCTGTTTAAAAGACAAATTTCATTTTTTAATCATTAAATGAAATACATATGTATGTATTACTATGCGGATGTCAAACGAAATAGTTAAGTTAAAGAAAGCTTTGTTTGTAAGATATACAATACATATTACAATGTACACACATATTCATTATTATTTCGCCATCTGCTTTCGAGAAACAGCACCCATCTTAATTAATATGTACTTGAGAAAATAATTGATATGGTTGAATATATGCGTACATACAAATGTGCACAATAAAGATAATTCTACATAAATTCTGGGAAAATCATTTGCTACTTTTTTCATAAGAATGACAACAATTTTAGTTTATTAAACAATTTTACTTTTCGAATGAAATACTATAGGATCCGTGGACTGTTAATAAAGTTTTCCAATGCATTTGACACCAAATCGTATAGCTTCCACTTAAGGGATACTAAACAAAACTATTGTTGTTGTCTTCACTAGAAGAAACAGATTGAAAACGACGGGCCACGGGTCACAGCTACATCTAAATATTTCATATTCATTGTCTAAGCGCTTTGTCGATAGCGACATGAATTTTTCAATGCAACAGCGAAATCATGAATTTCTATAAGTTTGACATAAAAAAAATTTAAATATATCAAATTTCACTACAACCACAGTTGCGGTGTAACTCTGTTGCCGCCAAAGTAATTAATTAAAATAATTAGAGTTTGTGTTTGAATTTGACAGATGTAACCCGTAGCCCGTCATTTTCAAAGTTTTTCAAACATTAGTTCGTTTTCCACAATTTAGGTTTGAATTTACTTAACAAAAGATGAAAATTTACATACATAGTTAGTAGCTAATGGTGCTTCCAATCTCAAGGAGTTGACTCAACACAGTTGTAGTAAATTTTCTGTGGATAGCAGGAAAAAAGATGGTCTGAATGCGCTTAATTTTTTGCATTTGATATTCGTATGATCTTCACAAAGCAAAAATACAACATAAAAATGTAGAAGAATAGACCGTGAAGATAATCTGATCACAAATATTTTCTTGAAATATACAAGTGTATGTATGTGCATTAGGGTGGTCAAAAAAAAATATAGTTGGATAGTTAATGCTCGCACCCCTAGGGTTGTTCGATACCGATGAAAATGATACCCCTGTTTTTTTATTTTGAAATCAAAAAAATATTTAGGGGTCGCTCAAAGCGCTCAAAGTTTTCCATGTATTTTAT